AGGTGTGGTGAATTTAGGTGTGGGGAGTGAAGTAGTGGTGGATTTAGGTGTGGGGAGTTAAGGTGTGGTGAATTAATGTGTAGCGAACTCAGGTGAAGTAAGTTTTTAAGCGGTGGTGAGATGAGTTGAGGTGAGGTAAGTTAAGTTAAGATAAGTTATCTTTATCCTTATCTTCACATTCATCTTCATCTTCTTCCTCGTTTTGGTCTTCATCTTCTTCTTCATCTTTATCCTTTCCTTTATCCTGATCTAAATATGTCCATTCTTTTCTTCATTAACATATTCACCCCCACCATTGTTATTAGGTTAGGTATTTAAATTTTCCTTCCTCTTTGTCTTTATATTTAGGTTTCTTTAATTTTATTTTAATTTCTGTATTTATCCCTTTCTTCTTCTCCATACTCAAAATTATCTCATCCTTGTTTGAGGCTAATCTATTCATGTACATACATACATACATCTTATTCCTAAACTGCTGCTTAGCACGTTTCTTTAATTCACTTAGGGTATTCACAGTTTACTTCTAAAGTTAAAAGGTGGCAACTTTAACAAGATAACACACTCGAACTGTGAGCAACCCTTATGTTTAAATAAAGTATTAAGTTGATCAACAATACCACGCATTGCTAGACGGTTTGCCTTTCACGCGTTTGTGTTTAGAGAGCATCAACAAACCACATACATATTTCTCTCTATTCTCTCTTCTCTTTTTTATACTCAGCTAGCACAGCGCAAAAATAAAATAAAAAATAACCTTTGCCAGCTCCAGGCAGGCGCAAAGAGAAACTTATGTACAAGCAGCGCTGCGCCCAAAGCGAAATTAATGTATGTATGTACAAGCAGCGATAGATGCCAGTTTAACACAGAACATAAACATGAGACAAAGTCTAGTAATTTTGCCCAAAAGTGTTATCTCTAATTAGTATGGGAACCAACAACAAACAAAGTTACCACATGGTAAAATGTTTTAAAGTTACCAGGTGGCAAAATTAACACAGTAGATAATATAGAACTGTGAGTACCCTAACTATCAATATTAAAGCATACATTTAGGAGGCATTTCCGCCCCAACCATGTACATGTATGGCATTGGTATTGGTGTGACTTTTGAATTGATTTTTTCGCTCTATTTTAAACTAATTTGAAATTTTAAAAATTACCTGCACATCAGCATCAAAATACCTTTCTAATGATATATAATTGTTTATACCTTAGAAGTACAGTTTAGCCGTAAAAGGGGTGTAAAGGAAACATGATTGCCTATTTATATAATTGATTATGAGTTATTACTAAGCAGTATTGGTCTGGTCCAAGGTACATTGAACAGGTAGTATCAGTAGAGCAGCTGGTTTGATTTATTTTCAAATTATTTGGTCTCGAAAATGTCAAATATTTTTAATTTAAAAATTCTGAATTGTTAAAATCCATTTGCATGTGAAACCTTTTCCCATACAAAACAAGCGATTGAATAGCAGCTTTTGGAACGTTCGCCCAACTCGGCAGCACGACCGCTGATTACTGGGCCTTGCAAAGGATGGATCAATGCTTCGAGAAGCAAACAAATTTACTAGGAAAGAAAGTTGCATCAATTTTTATTTTTTCCAATTTCAATTTTTTATTTTTTATAATTTTTTGTATTTCACATGGCACGCTTTGATTTAGAAGAAAAAATTCAGAACAGTTTTTGACACTTTCGATACCAGAAGCAACAACAAAATACACGCAAATGATACTACCTGTTTAATGTGCCTTGGTCTGGTCCCACCCGTGACAAAAAAAGCTAAAAGTTATTATATTTAATTACAGAAGTTGAGGTTGTGTTCCGTGTTTGTTACATATGTTAGAAATTCATTGCAAATATTTACCCCAATTGCTATGTCGTTTCCACGTAGTTAAATAAGAATAATTCAACAGAGAAGCATGTCCCACCCGTGACAGCTATGTGCGGGACAGTTGTCAGAGGTAGGTTTACAGGGCTGATAAGCTTTATTTGTTTGTTGAGGTGGACGTCCATTATCTATATACCCTTGTGGTCAGCTGATTAAGTTAAGTTAAATTTTTCGACCAGTTTTGGTTTTTATTTGTTAATCTAATGTTTCAGTGTCGGCCGCTGTGGTGTAGTGGTAAGCAGTGCGCGCTTCCACTCCGCAACGCCTGTGTTCAAGCCCTGGTCAAAGCAACATCGCAAAAAAATATAGAAAAAGGTTTTTTCTTAACAGCGGTCGTCCCTCGGCAGGCAATGGCAAACCTCCGAGTGTATTTCTGCCATGAAAAATAGCTTCTCATAAAAATACAATCGCCGTTCGGAGTCGGCGTAAAACTGTAGGTCCTTCCGATTTGTGTGACAACATCATGGCGCACGCCACAAATCAGAGGAGAAGCTCGGCCAAACACTAACATATGTGTAAGCGCCAAGCTATTATTATTATTATTATTATTAATGTTTATAGTTTTTTTTTGTTATAAAAGTCTAGCACATTACCTAACCAGAACCACATAAATCTACATTTCAAACTTCTTACAAAAATTATAAAATTCAACAAACTTTAACAATTACACCAAATTGTAAACTTTTTGTTCAGAATTTTTAGATATGCAGTTTTATAGTCCATTAAATTTAAGTACGTAAAAGTGAAAATTTTAAGACGCTAGGAAATCGGGTGCATTTTTTTAATTTTTTTTTGCTGACGGTGCTAAGCATTTTCTCCTATATAAAAGGCACCATCCTAAGATAAAACGTGAGTGAATTTACCCCATACTTGGCTTCTTATATTTTTTAATAACTAATCTTTATATATGGACCACACTAAAAGCTCCCTTTCATATAAAAATTCGTAAGTGTCCTACCCGTGACAAACGTTGCCCCACCCGTGACAAAGGGTTTTCCGAATTCTTGTATAATAAAGCCATAATTTTTTTGTAGTTTTTGCTTTGTTTGTGTTCCTGGTTATTTATTTTATTATAAGACATCAAGTTCACACAGAAAAGTGAAATAAATTCGCAGAGTTTCCGTAAAATACATCTGATCTTGTTAACATTTAACTCTTACACTCCACCGAAAAATATAGATATTGCATGATACAAACTTTTAGTGAGGAAATATTTTTAGCATACCTAAAGAATACGGACCCTTGAGCTAGAGAAAAAAGAAAGCGTGGACGTGGTGCACCCCTTTCTACTGAGTTTAATGGTAAACTTTTTTTTTGGTGACAGGGGCGGCGCTAGGGGGGGCTAAACGTGAAATTTCCAACATTTCCAAAAGCTTATATAACCGATTTTCAAAATATGGACACAGTTGGAAAGGTAATTGAAGGATCTTTCATTCAATATATGTATATCTATGTATATAATGCAAACATATTTTGAGAAAAAGTAAAAAAACTAAATTATGGCAATTTTTTATAAA